CAAGATTCATTTCAATCATTTATTATATTACTAGAAACCTCATTACTCAACGTCAAATGGTGATAACCAGTGTTTTTCGATATATGAGAATGTTGTAAATATTCTCTTAAAGCGGGTGAGGTGATATTTTTCGCTCACTAGTTCTTCCTTCAAATTCAGACTCAGTTGATAGCTACGCAAATTATATTATCTGACGAGATAAACATCTGAATACGAATTTTATAGCAATTATAGTTTTAACCCATGGAAAGGATTTGGTAATCCTTCACTCGGGATAATTCAGTACCATAAAACGTCTTACTGACAAAGGGTGTAAAGTATGTATCAGTGTGTATGGTTTAGGGTGATTTCCTAAGCGGAGCTTAGATGTGCCACATAGCCGGAAATATGGGACACCGAATGAAGATCGAACTCAGAAATTAATAGTAATTGGCGGCTTTCTAAGCGTAGCGTAGATGTGGCACAAGGCCGAAAGTATGAGGGCATCCATTGTGGATCGAACACACTGTTCAATCGTTATTGGTGATTTTCTAAACGTAGCTTCGAGCTTCGATGTGACACAAGGCCAAAAGTATGGGTGCACTCAGAGAGGATCGAACTCACAAGTTAATCGTTATTTGTAGCTTTCTGAGGGTCGCCTAGATGTGACACAAGGCCAAAAGTATAGAGCAGCCAGCGAGGATAAAAATCAGTATTCAGCCGTAATTGATACAAGCAAGACAAACTTGCTTAACATTACAAAATTGATGATTTTTAAGCGTAGCGTAGATGTGGCTCAAGGCCAAAAGTTTGGGGTATCCAGTGAGGATTGAACTCACGATTCCGTCGTAATTGATCTAGCAAGACAAGCTTGCTAACCATTAGACCACTCGTGATTTTCTAAGCCTAGCTTAGATGTGGCACAAAGCCAAAAGTACGGGTCATCCAGTGAGGAACGAACTCATTATTCAGTCGTAAATGATCTAGCAAGACAAGCTTGCTAACCATTACCCCACTGGTGCTTTTCTAAGCTTAGCGTAGATGTGGCACAAGGCCGAATGTATGGAGCAGTAGAGGATCTAATTCACTATTCAGTCGTAATTGGTCTATCGAGTAAAGCTTGCTAACCATTACACAACTGCTGATTTTCTAAGCATAGCCCGTATGTATCACAGGCACGAGAGTACGGGGAACGCTGTGAGGATCGAACTCACTATTCGGCCGTAATTGATCAAACGAGACTAATTAGTGTGTATGTATGTGCTTCGTAGCTTACTACAAATGACCTACTTTTGTCCGTAATTTTCTAAATTTTTATCCTGTTCTTTCATTTTCATTTCTCCTCATTAAAGTCTTCTAATCCTCTTCCTAGTCGCGTCCTTGTAGCATTACCGCCTTGCTCGGGGTGAAATTATTAAGAAAAGTATTTCGTATAGAGTTGTATCGATGTAAATTACTTTAATAAGAAAGACGAAAGGAAGAGCTTCTTACGTCCTCTCGAAATGTAGAATCCACGTCTGTAGAAGGCCTCAGGGTCGCGCATTCACTGGCTTACAGTTATCATGGAAGTCTCAAGCTGAATAAAATGTAATCCTCCTTATCCTTATTAATGCTATGGTTCGAAATAGCGTATATGTTATATGACAACTGTTATGGTCCAATAATCCTCCACGAACTCTTAATCCTTATTAATGTATTAGTGGTGATAATCATACCTCTTGTTTTATAATGTCAGGAATTGGGTAAGTTCCCATAACAGATATAATATGATGGTTCGATATATATATATATATATATATAGATAGATAGATAGATAACTTGTTATGGTCCAAATTCCTTGTACCAAGGTGATGGTCAAGGTTAGAACCAATGAAAGAATAACACGAACACAGGTATGGAATACAAAGATATATTACAACAGAAATATAATACAAAGAAGTAGAAGTATTAGTAATGACTATCAGATTTGGTTAAACTATGTTGTCTCGAATCACTATTCAATGTCCTTACAATATGCTCTCAATTATCTCCTCGACTTACAAATACATATTTATAATGTCAGGAATTCCATTATTATTATGGGTAAGTTCCCCATAACAGATATATATATATATATATATATATATATATATAGATAGATAGATAGATAGATGTTGTTATGGTCCAAGTTCCTTGTACTAAGGTGATGGTTCAAGGTTAGAACCAATGAAAGAATAACACGAACACAGGTATGGAATACAAAGATATATTACAACAGAAATATAATACAAAAGAAGTAGAAGTATTAGTAATGACTATCAGATTTGGTTAGAGGAACTATGTTGTCTCGACAAGTATCACTATTCCAATGTCCTTACAATATGCTCTCAATTATCCATCTCCTCAGTTTATTAACATACTCATATATATATATATATATATATATATATATATATATATATAGATAGATAGATAGATAGATAGATGTTGTTATGGTCCAAGTCTTGAGATGGTTCAGGTTACCAATGTATTTATAATGTCAGGAATAGTCCATGAACTACAAGTATTAATTCCTTATGCTCCTCAATTATCTCCTAAAACATACTCATACCTCTTGAGTAGTCCATTAACAACAACAAAACAAAGGAAGCTTTTGAAGGGGAAAAAGCTCAGGAAATCATAGAAGTTAATGATGGAAAGAAAAATTACATAGAAAATGATGCAGGCCGAAAAAAGAAAAAAAAAGACAAAACAAACAATAAATGACCCTACAGAGAACACTTAAAACTCGAAAGCCGGTAATCTTCTTTTATGTACCGTGTCCCTCCACAACTACCTGTCCTTTGTAGCTCTTAATAAGTTTTGTCTTTTTTGTTAAATCTCCCAAACCGTGTTCCACCATCCATTAACTCAAACTTATCAAGTATTTTACACGCTGCTTCCCTCTGTCCCTCTTTTGTTCAAACTGTCCTGTGAGTATCATATTTTCCAAGCCCACCTTCCTCATTACGTGCCCCAGAGATTTCAATAGGCTCTTACTGATGTTAAAGTATAAATTTCCTTTTTGTTTCACGTGTTAGGTTCGCGGTATCATCAGCATCTTTCTGTAGAACCTAATTTCTGTTGCTTCAAGTTATTTTTTTATCTTTGAGGAAATTGTCAATACCGGAGGACAGATATCATGTAACAGTTCAGTACTCTTTTCTTTGTTTCCAACGAAATTTTTATGTCTCTTAATACTCTGCTTAGCTTTTGGGATGCAGCTTTGGCCATCCCAATACGTCTTAGCAATCCAAAACAAACGAAGCAGAACAACGATTGAGAAAATAGAGAAATGAAATAGTGATAGCATGATGCTCTTGTCTGTTTACAGTTTTGTAAAAGGTCATTCAAGTATAGAATCGTATTTGATTAAGATATGTAATTCAGCCTTGAAATTATTCAATTTCTATTTGATATTATTTTTTGTTACTTTTGTTTTTAAGACTTTTATTTAATAGTCCTTTTTCACTTTTGGAGTTAAAGGAAAAAAAAAACATTGTAAGAATAGAAATAAAACAAAAAAAAAATTTTTTTTAAATCCCTCCATTTTGGCCTGTTTTAATAAATCTGGTCTTTAAAGCCGTTTTTTCTTCTTCTTCTTCTTTCCGTATGATTACGTTGGAGATAATTAGTAGCAAAGAGCATTTTAATGAAATATTTTGATGAAAAGAAAGTAATCACCGATATTCAAATAAATGAATAAATAAATAAATAAAAAAACGAGAGGCGTAACTGGAAATCAATGTCTCTTTAGTTATGGAAAAGATGGAGAGATATTAACTGAGGTGGGTCGTGGGGGGGAAGGGAAAGAATGGGGAATGAAAGCGAAACGACGAGGATATTCCTCGAAAAAGTATCACCGACTTTGAAATAAGGACCGTGATAAGTGATTCTGACAATATAGTTGTGCCAATCTGCATCCATACACACAAAATGGCCAGTACCTGTATACGTGCTTACATCAATGAGTTCGTCATCTTATGACGAAAAAGCATTCATTTTATACAAAAATAATTATTTTATGACATAATCTCCTTTTTTGCCAAAGCACATAACAAAACATACCTCCATTACCCAAATACATCGAACGGTATACAGCGAAAATTAAAAAAAAATCAGTTGTGCCAGTTACGAAGTTAATGATGAAAACTCGTATCTATCTATCTATCTATCTATATATCTATCTATCTATCTATATATCTATCTATCTATCTATCTATCTATCTATCTATCTATCTCTCTCTCTCTCTCTATATATATATATATATATATATATATATATATATATATATATATATATGGCATCATATATTATGAAATGGACTAAGTCCGGCAATTATTTTAATATATTTTTCTGTTTGTACAAATAGAGTCGTCCAGTTCTCACCTAAAACACAAGAGATAACTTATGGATAAATGAGGCATTCTAGGAAGAGCTAAGAATGTCTAAATTGAAATAATGTGTTGAGTGAGATAAAGAATGAGAACACGCATACATCAATTTCAAAGTAACTCTGGTAGATTATCGTATTGAACGCGTTTGTTAATATGAGAATGGGGCAAAAAGCAATGATCTTTTTAATTCTATTAGGTTGGTTGCAAAAAATAATGACGTAATAATGTCGTTTTTTGACGTATTTTTAACGTCAAAAACGACATTATTACGTCATTATTTTTGCACCAACCTAATATAAGTCAAATAAGTTTTATATGTCATGACTCATTTAGGAAGCGGAAAGAAAACAGAAAAATATTGATCTCAGTCCGATGAAATTTCCAAGGAGTACCGCATTTCGAGCTGGTTTCACACGGTCACACCACCAATGCTAATCTGTAGTGCCAGCAATTAGACCGAGTATCAAACAAACTGAAGGAGGAGTATCCTGCTTTGGTCAATCGATGTTGGGCTTTGCTTCAGCAAGACAATTCGAGGTCACACACAGCCAGGCTGACTAAGGTGAAGTTCAAACAGATGGACAGTGTTGAGATTCTTCCACATC